CCAGCCTCCTGGGACCAAGCAGTGTTGCTCTGCCATGCCCTCCACCATGACACTCTTGCTTTGCAGCCAACTGATCACGAACTGAGAGTCCAGCCAAATTAAACTTTAAGTTGTTGGCATCTCCCTTTATTTTCCCCAACAACATGAAAACTGACTAATATAGTCTGAGAAGACAGAAGAGCTCAAAATTCAGGTCTAATCACGGCACTGGCATATCCCTGCTAGGTATCACGAGGGAATAAAAAGATCAAATGAAAATCCTGTCTGTCAGGCTGCAGCTTAGCTGTCACTTCATCTTCATAAGCACCTTCTCCGACTTAGCAGGGCCAGGCAGATAATCCCCCTGTGCTCTGTGGAACTCTGTCCCAGCACTGCTTCTACTGCACATGACTATTGTGTGGGCCACAGACCATGGAATGTCCAGTGACATGATGCATTAGCTAAGGACTCCTGGCTTAACCCAGTGAGGGTTAAGTCCCTTTTCTTGTTAATCTGAGTTCACCGGCAAAAATGGCAAGTGTCAGTTGGTGGTGAGTTCTGTGACTGAGAGGGATGGTGCACCATCTGAGATCACAATGCCTCATAGTGAATGAGAAAACAAAGGTAGCTCAGTGGCACAGCACCTGCCTGGCAAGTGCAAGGTCATGAGTTCGGTTCCCTGTACAGGAAAAAAAACAAAAAACAAAAAACAAAACAAAAAACAAGAAAAAGCAGAAGAGAAAAACAAACAAAAATGACCAAACACTTCCCTGGGATTCTTTACTAATCTCTAGTATCTGGTATTTGAGCCCTTCCATTTGCATAAAAGTTATGTATTCCTCAACTATTATATCGGCATCTAGCATCCCACCTCCAACACAGATATGTGGACACGTGACACAAATTTGCCCTGTATTTGAAGAAGAAGAAGAAGACCTTTATTACTTTGGGTGCAGATAAACATTTTCTAGCAAGCATTCAACACACTGCACTCTTTTGATCTATTCCAATAGACTCACTGGAAGATCAAAGTTGGGGAGTTCTCCATCTTTGTCTTCCTGGTATTGAGGGTAGTTTCCGGCATCATTTGTATTGAAACCAGTTATTGGAAAATTGAATGTGTGTAAGAATGGATGCAGAATGAAGCAACCTCCACTACTTAGTAATGTGGACTAATTTTAAAGGCTGATGCAGTTTTAACTAAATTTAAAACTTAGACATTTCTTCTTGTTTATAATTATCATAAATATTCCCATTCATAAATATTAAAATCTAATAAAGTTGTGGTAGAATTGGATGTGATTCTCAAAAAGAACTGATAGAATTCAAAGCCTCTTATAAAAGCATCAAGGCCTCTACAAAAGCAAACGTTCAAATGAATGCAGCATGGAGTTTTCAGACTTCTTGTCATAACTGGAATGCTAAGTCTGCTTTGCAAGAACAAAGGTGAATGAACCTGGAAGCCCATATGTGGTCTGCAGGAGGGATATCTGTAGGTCCTCTGAAGGAACTTTGGAGGCATCCACATAAAGATTACAAATAAAGCAAAGGATAAGCTGTTCAAAAACACACTAACATCCCTTTAGCTTCTAGGGAAAGTCTTGATACCTAGTCATTAGCTGGGCAATCTGCCCTCAGAGTTCCTTTGGACTTAACGTGCAAAAAAGAAACCTGACTGGAGATTTTTTTTCTTTTTAATATTTTATGCTTTGCCACTGTACCATGAAGTCCTAATTTTTGTGAATCCAAATACTCATTAACTCTCAAGTGCTATTAGCTATCAAGAGTCAAATGAATTCAAAGGAAAAAAAGAGCAAAAAGTCATTTTAAACCAACAAAAAGGGCTTTGTTTTGTTATTATAGTTGTCTCTAAGGAGCCCGTACTTGCTTGTCTATCTATAGAAAAAAAAATGAGAATAACATTTAAAAGCAGTATCAATTTTATTTTTAAATCAAAGATTGCATTAATATTAGCCTTTGCTACTTATACTTATTGAATTGTATATTCTTCCAGTTGCTTTGTTCTAAAATAGACAGTTATTTTTGTGTTGAGACAGGAGGTGGAGAAGGGAGGGAATTTGTGTTCACTGACATTTTCGTTTTGAATTCTTCCGTATCTTTCCAATTTAATGCTCTCAAGATAATGTGAATCTCTTACTTCAGGTTTATTTTTAATACCTGTCCACGTCCTTTTGCTGTAAGTACTACTGGGAAAGATTATGCCTGTAACGTTTGTTTGCTCTTCTCTATCCTTGGTCTCCCTGATGAAACTCCTCTGCATAATAGCAACCTTCCAAGAGTATCACCAAATCGTAACAGGCTAGCATGGTTCTGTAAGCCCCTTGGCTAGCGCATGACATTTACCTTTGTCTCTGTTTATGAGATCCCATGAAACTTGCCGGCACTTTCACTTTTGTCTCTGTCTCAAACAACATATACTGTCACTATAACCCAGAGTGATCCTCTTGGGAAATAGGTACTTCCTGTGCCCGTAGCTTTGGGCTGTACAGAAATAAATGCTCTGCTTTTCAAGCGTACATGTGGTGGAGAGGCTGGAATGCTCTCGTGAGGGTAGGACTCACTAAACCTAATTCTAGACTTACTGATGCATCTAGGTATTCTGGACTTCTGATGTCAATAGATCAATGTGGTTTTTCTTTTAAAGAAATTGTCATAAGGTCACAACCATAAAATGTGGGCAAGAAGAACTAGGTATGGAACTCACTATCTATTCAAGTATGTCCATGTTTGGTGATAACTATGAATGGATGATTGCAGAATCCACTATTGGAATGGCACAGAAACGATGGATTCATAGGCCTCTGTGAAAAAGTTCAGGTCATCCCACCAAGTCAGTCAGCGGAACAAAGGTTGATCAAGGGTGTAGGAAAATCAAGGAGAGAAAAGCTGTAAATAAATTATGAGGAGGGGCAGATCGGAGGGCAAAGAAAGTAAAAATGAACAAAATGTTGTATGGACAGTATATACATATATATTAATTTAGCAAGACTAAAAGTAAAAATGAACAAAATGTTGTATGGACAGTATATACATATATATTAATTTAGCAAGACTACATATATTTATATATATTTCAGCTTTCCTGTTAGACAGAAAAATATGATTTCAAATCCATCATGACACTGTAACCTGCCATATAATCATGGTGAAAACTAACACGTGGGGATGTAGAAAAATCTCACCAAGCTATACAAATTGAGACACAGGAAGGAAGGCTTCGTAGCACGGTGACACAGCGCTTGCCTAGCATGTGTGAGTCCTCTGGATTCGATCTCCAATATTTAAAAAATAAAAACCAAGGAAGTGCTTAAATTCAGCCAACTTCACAGTAAAAATTCTATAGGAAAAAATTATTCTGATTGATATTCTGAATTTTTGTCAGAAGACAGATTTGTCAGCAGGTCTGTATGCCTGTTAGCTACTGATTTAAACATTTTTAAGAGCTATTCATAAAAATAAAACATGATAACCAGTTCTGTTCTTCATTGTGGTAGAAATTCTGATGAATATATATTACTGAAGTAAGTTTAGCTTTATATGCTAATCACAACAGGCAGTGGATGTATAAATTTTAACATATTACAGTAAAACACACATTACCATCAGTTTCTCACAAATACTCCTCCTCGCTTCCTTACTCCTACACTTACTCCTGTATTCTTGCCATTTTCTGAAGCAGCTCTGGAAGTCCTCTTTCATGGGTGTCTTAAAGAGGTATGATTGAAAAAATCTAAGGAATGCTGCTACCAAATGCCATTCAATGGAAAAGAAGGAATATAAAAACGCTCTGGTGTCCTTATCAACCTTATTCACTGGACCTGCCACCATGTGACTTCCAGCTCTTTCCCAGAATCAAAATGACCATGAAAGAGAAACATTTTTAACGATTCAGGATATCATGACAGCCCCAACAGCACAAATAAAGCTGGTCATAACACAAAATTTCCAGAACTGCTTTGGAAAGTGGCAGATGGTTAAGTGTGTTGCAGGGGAGGGGAAGTAGTTTTAGGGGATTAATGTATTTTATTGTGTAGTTACTGACTGCTTTACCCTCAAAGAAATTACTGGGTAGGGAAGATGACTATGGTCTGTGACAAGACTTCACATTCATGGTTCCCAACTAAATGCTTCCCGAACTTTTTCAGACTGTGGCACACAAAGAAATTCTACATGGTGCATTTCCTAGAAAGTTACATGGACAAGAATGCCTGTATAAAGTTTTGTGAGAGCCAGGCACGGTGGTGCACGCCTGTCATCTCAGCACTCAGGAAGCTGAGGCAGGAGGATCGTTGTGAGTTCAAAACCAGCCTGGGCTACAAAATGAGCTCAAGGCCAGCCTGAACTGCATAGTGAGACCCTGTCTTAAAAAGAAAAAAAAAAGTTTTGTGGAAAAAGAAAAGCATACTGCCCAAATATTATGGAAAAACAGTAAAGTATTGGGGAAAAGACTAAGCACTGGATTTCACGCAAATATTCTACAAAGTTCTTCAGTCGCATTTGAAGAGCTGGGTCTCACTCAATGCACATGCCAGACCCAAATGCGGTATTATTAGGTATTATTAGGCACTTTCTAACATTTTCATAAGAATATTAGGTTGTTTCACAACCATCGTGTTTCTATTAGTTTGAATTCCTTAAGTAAATATACGCAATTCTTAGTAAGATGTCTTCCTCATCATCCTTTTAACACACTGTTAGTTTTTTTCAAAGAAGCCGAAGATCAGAAATGGAAAGCTTATATTGTGCAGCCTTTACACTTTTACAACAGTTGAATTTCCTGCAATATGCAAGCATATTTCAATTCCAATCAAATGGTTTAAACCAAATATTTGAAAATAAGGATGAAGCTCTAATAGAACAGCCATGCATTATTGAAACGACTGGCCCAGATACCGTGAGTGGAGACACCAGCCACAAATCGAGGCAGTCATTGTATAGGAAGACACATTTGGGGCACTGCCCAGCCACCCCCAACCCGTTCTCCCCACCGCTGGCCGCACCTTGCGCTGCAATCTGTGCTCCTTGGGCACCTGGACCGCGAACTCCTCTGGCAGCTGCACGGGGCCCTGGTCCACGGTGGGCAGTGATGCGCTCGGCGGCCGGCTGCTGAAGGAGATGTCTGGGTGGCAGAGCGCCTCCTGGGCTACGCTCAGCGTGTCGCAGTGGAGCACCAAGGCCTGGATGTCGCTCACTGTGCCTGCCACCTGCGGGGACCGCAGGGCGCACCATCAGACCCGCACAGCACAGCCGGCTCGGGCAGCCCCTGCAGAGCCTATTCTCAGGCATCCCTGCTGCAGGCTACAGGCTCCTTCTCCAGCCACCCCAGGCCCTCCCGGAAAATCCTGGACGTGAGGGATCAACCTCCTGACCTCGGGTAGCAAGTCTATTAACCACTATTCTAATTCAGAGGGGAAAAAAAAACCAAAACACCTCCTTCTGAAGGTCCCTAACACTGATTACAAAACTGAACACAATTATTGAAAGGAGAGTACTCTAGCTATCTGAAAAAACAGAAACGTTATTTATATTATTATAGTCACACACTCTTGATACAAATTAGGGGCACTGGTATCTATATAAGTGTAGATAGAAGTATTGGTTACTGAACTCAGGTTTTACACAAAACAGCTTGATAAGGTACTGGGTGAAGAAGGTTCCAAAAAGGTATCTATATAAGTGTAGATAGAAGTATTGGTTACTGAACTCAGGTTTTACACAAAACAGCTTGATAAGGTACTGGGTGAAGAAGGTTCCAAAAGGTAACTTTTTGTTGTTTGTTTATTTTGTTTTGTTTGGTGTATGGTTACACTTACATGGACTCTTTTATATTTATTTATATGTTTTCAGTTATTTAGCTGACATTTTTTGAAAGAGATTAAGCGGTGTGATGGATATTAAGGTGAAAAGGATATACATACATTGTCATTTATATACACAGTGATTTTACTGACACATGGTACATATTACATAAATGAATAAATATGAAAGACCAAGACAGTAATGAGAAAATAAAATCACATATGATTTTTACATAATTCACAAAAGGCATATATTATATGCTATGAAAAAATACAGCTATTTAAGTACAGTTTTTTGGTAAATCAATACATAAGATACATATTTCTCTACACGAACTATAGTTTATTTAATAAGTAGAAATGATAATGAAAATGTACCTACCAAAAAAAGTAAAACATTTTACATAGGAATATATCTTGCTCTATGCAAATATGTTAGCATTTTATAACGTGCATGTTTAAAAACACATTAATTACACTATATGACTATTATTAAACAGCAAAGAAATTAAGAAAATCAATAATATAAGAGACTTTCATGATCATCATTCTAACACAAGATTACACAGTGGTGCTATAATGTATTGCTTTATATATTTACAAATTAAGAATAAAAACTATATCCTTCCAAATTGTATGCTAGAATATAGGCAGCTCTTATAGGAAAATAAGTCATATTTTGGTATCTGTTAATCGATATCTGACATAGTGTCCTGAAACAACTATTTAAATTTCAACATCATTATATAGGATTGCTAAAGTATACATGTAAAGGTAATGTGAATGTCATTGATAACCTGTGTGAATGAAACAGGTGTCCAAGAAAGGAATAAATTTCAAGAGCAAAGAAGTTGTGAAAATCGAAAACTGTAAATAAATGCTTTCTCTGATGTTCCATTTCAGAGGCCCTTCTTCTGATTTTTGGATCTCTACAACATACTCCCACTGCCCAAAATGACAATTGACAGATTTAATATATTTTTACAATTTTTCCTAAAATTTATGTAACTACTCTATTAAAGGAAATGAAATAAATTAGCAAAAGTATAGGAAGGTATTTTATCATATAAGCCTTAGGTATGTTAAAGTTGAAAGCTTTTATCCTCAGTCAAGTTCACATACATGCACACCAGTGATGGAATGGACGTGTACAGTTCATTCATTGACAAATATTTGTCAAGCACTCAGGAGGTGTCAGGTCTCCTTGTAGGTGCTACAGAATTTGTGCAACAAGAGACCACACATCCACTTTAGTGAATCATCCATCTAGGAAGAGCAATAGAGAATGCATAAATAAATTTTTAAAAGTACCTTTAGCTATGAGTAGTCCACAGAAAATTTAAATAAGGTAACATGTAAAGAACCCATCACTTGAGGTTTAAAGAGGGTCCCTACACTGAGAACCCAAGCTCAGGTTTTAATGAAACCTGACATTGCTAGGCAGACAGAAATGAGGAGTAAAGAGCAGGCTACACACTGCAAAACCCTCCAAGCTGTAGCAACACAGGCATGTTCAAGAAATAGCACAATAGCCAGGCGTGGTGGCACATCGCTGTAACCCCAGCACTCAGCAGGCTAAGTAAGGTAGGAGGATGGCCACAAACTCGAGCCCAGCCTTGACTCGTGAGTTCAGGGTGTGCCTGAACTACAGAGGAAGACTGGAGACCCTGCCAATCAATCAGTAAGTAAATAAATAAATAGCACCATGGCAAATATAAACACAGTGATCAAGAGGAGCAGTGTGGAATGACTTCAGAAGATAAACAACAACCGGACCATAACCCTGGTAAACCAGCGTCAAGAGTTTAGTGTTTAAAGTATCTGTGTAAGATACTTAATAAAGCTCTTGGGAAGAAAGGGTATGGCATGGGAGTGAAAAATGAAAAAACAAAAAAAAGGAATGATGATCTCCTATAAGCTAGATATCAAATACTTCCAGGAAGGATCAATTTCTAGAGTAGCTAGAGAATGACAACTGATTTATGTGCATATACAATGGAGTAAGCATCAGTTGACCAATACAATGTCTGTAACTAAAAGAATCACATCATGAGTAAGAAATAACAATGTGCTTCAAGCAGAGCTGGACAATGAGCTCTCAGGGGCCTAGAAAGACTAGATCTTTACTGCAGAATGAGAGGATTTCAGGAAGCGAGGTGGAAAAATGAAAAGCACCAGGTTAAATAAACTTAACTGTTAAACTAGAGGAAATAAAACGTTGATGTATTTCATTAAAACTAAGGCAATTCGTGTGTCTATTGCTAATATCTGTTTATATTGTCTATCTCTATGTTTTGAAAAAAAGTCAGAGGCAGTGATCAAAACTGGAAGGTTCGTACCTACTGTTCACATAGACAAGCACTATTAGGACAGAGATCACTTCCTTCATTCTAAAAATATTTTTATAGGCTATTCCTAAGATATTGCGTGACTTTTGTAAATATACTTGTCTTCCTGAAGCTATTATAATAAAAATACTTTTTTTTAAAAAAGAGTCTCACTCTGTAGCCCAGCTTTAAACTTACAATCTTCCTACCTCATCACACACAACAAAAATTTGTCTTTGACAAACATCACAGTTAAGAGTCTGGTATTCCATGAGAAGCACGGACTCTTATGTCTGGAGAGATTCTCTCAGCTCCCAGGCTGGATAACCACCTCTCTAAAGCATCCCTGCTAAAACTCTATTCTCCACTCACATGAAGAAACTGTGATAAAAACCCCAATCTGCCCCTGGGGCACAGTTGTGTTTAAAACAGCAAGATTCCTCATGTCAAGGAAGGTAACAGCTACACTCAGGCATTTTTCACCCAGTGGATTCAATCCTACAGAATGGCTACAAAACCATATCACGTTACTCCTTAAAGGTATGTACTCCCTTCAGATGTCTGAAAATAATCTTTGCATCTTAGTTGTCTCTTGCCTTCTCCAGATCCTTAAACAGAAATGATTTGTTCAAGGAGTAATGAAAAATACCACCAACATCTTATAGCATTCACTGGAATTTGAAGGCATTCTCCTTTAGAGTCCTTCTCCCACCTACAAGGAAGAGAACAGTTTTAAACTCTGTTCTATGCAATTCTAGGCGGTCTCAAAGAAAACGGTGGATCTGGGACAGAAAGTGTTGATAAGCTCAAGGTACCTTATCCTTTCTTGTTAACCTTCATAGCAAGAGACACTGTTTTTTTCTTTTAAAAATTGCATATTTGTCTAAGACTTCATTTGAATAAAATGGAGGATGTATGTATTTTTTTGAAATTTGAATTGTGTTGCTCACAGGTAATATTGAGTACTCATTGTGAGTAATATGAGTTACAGCTATATTCATGTCTTCCACACAATCCTTGAAAAAAATCAAGATACTTTTTACAGTTTAAGAGATATGAGGAAGGGAATGAAATAGAGGGCGTTGAAGAAAAAATTTAGAAATATCATGTACATGTTCCAACTCCCCCGATGAATGTAATCATTTTATACTACAAACATGTACCAAATAAAAAAATATACAAAGAACTCTTTAAAAAAACAAATACTTTGATTCTGCTCTCCTAGAAGGCAAATAGGAAATAGGAAATTGTTTTATTACCTACTGAATGGATCAAAATATTTTATCCTACATTCAGGTACTGTCTCCCAAACAACAAAGAGGAATAGAGTATCAAAGTCTCAGAATGTGAGTTCTGCACTGACGTAAGATGTAACAAAAAGTAAAATAAGTATTTAAGATGTAAAGAATTTTTGATGGTAACGCCAAAATTTTCATATTATCTGTGGAATATACACAGTGGACTGACATTTGGGAAGATCAGAGGCAAATTGAGGCCTGACTGGTCTCCCGTGTGAGCACAAAGGAGAAAGGCAAGACAAAAGTTTATGCAGCTGGGATTAAGTTGTTCACCTGAGTATGTATCAGTGCATAATAGGCGGTGGGTCAACCTTACGTTACTTTAGTTGTTTGTACTGGTGTTTGGGTGAATAAAAGCAGGACAAGGAGCCAGAGGCTCCTGACTCCTCTGCCTAAGAGGCCAGAGCCCACTGGCTGCCCGCAGGGTGAACTAGCTCTGTGCTCTTTGTCACTCATCCTCATTTGCCTGGGGTCAGGTGACAAACTAGCAGGACTGTGTCCCTGCAAGTGGCGCCATGAGAGCGGATGCCCCAGAGGAGTGAGCAGTTTCCCCGTGGGGAGCACCTGGGGCAAGGACCCGGGGACTTTTGCTGCAGACAGGAACACCAGAATATCACATTTCAATGGTGCATGCTTTCAGAGATCAACATTGACCTATAAATAATAAAACGTGAAGCACTGTTTCTAAAAACAGCAGTTTTTTCCTTTTTTCTCTTCTTCTTTTCTTGTCTCCTTGGATGAATAACTAATATCATTCAGTCAACTATTCATCTTCTTCCTC